GAGACTATGTACATGTTTGGTGACCTTGATCCAAAGTTGTGGGCTCCATTGTTAGATGCTTACAAACTTCCGAAATGGTCTCTTCCCAACCACACGCCCGCTCTTAGTTTTGGAATCGCTGGAGCAGGTAAGGTTCATTGGAAAATCTCTGTAATATTTCATTGTAATAGCATACTGTAAAGTGTTTTAGGAACTGGCGTGCCATTCCATTTCCATGGGCCTGGCTTTGCTGAGGTGATTTATGGGTCAAAAAGATGGTTCCTGTATCCATATGAAGAAAGACCAGATTTCGAGCCGGATCGCACAACGTTGGAATGGTACGCTTATCATTAGCGCATTTCCAGGCGTAAATTAATTACCTGTGGTTTATCGATGTCTATTGCAGGTACTTGAATGACTATCCTTCCCTTCCTCGTGAGAAACGTCCTCTAGAATGTTTAATGAAGCCGGGAGAAATTATTTATTTCCCGGATAAATGGTGGCATGCTACATTGAATACCGAAACCAGCGTCTTTATCAGCACGTTCCTGAGTCCTTGAATTGTTTGCGCGCTGGAACGCTTTTTGAAATGTTTCTATCGTGCGATTTCATTCTTAAAATGGAAAAATCCAAGAACTTCTCCAAACCAATCAAGTCATTCCTGAATTTTGTTGAATAACTGCATATGTTTATAGATTTTAGACTTAGATTTTTTTAACTTGTTTTCTATCACAATCAAATTGTGAAAGTTCCACTTGCATTTCTCTCACCTACATTTCAAATGTACTTCTAAAGTAAGTAGTGAATGCCTTATCACCTTAAAGTCCCTTATTATTGCACTGATTTCTCTGGGTTGTGCAAAGCAGGCATTTGAAGATAGTTGTATGCAGCACTCGTGGCTTCTGCAAGTGTGGTCTAAAAGATTACCACATCACATATGGAGCACCATTTGCCTAAGAACCTGCTCATACTCTTCAAAGCTCTCGGGTTACAATGAGTTTTATCCGAGATCGGTCTTAGGTGTCGTCTTCGGTGTTAAAATCTAGTCGCTCTGCTGTTAAAACTATCAATATTCTTGTTATAAGTCTCGTTTGGAACTCAATTGTTTGCTGTTGTTGACCTAATCTTTTTTATGGACTTGGTTTTCCATTGTCGGTTCACTTGTTATTTTTGTGTTTTGATGGCCGTTCTAATTAGAATGCCTTCACTACTTGTTAAATACAGTTTTGTTAGACATTGCTTCGTAATTTATTTCGGCTACCCTTCATTGTTCCGTTTTGGATGAATGTTTTCCACAGAAATCGGCTTATTGGTATAAGTTGTTTGCTCAGCCACAATATCTATTTAGCATGTGTTAGATCAACGACCTTACCACATCAGGTTTTCTAAGGTGATGGCTTCGCGGCGGCGTGGAGTAGGTGTTGCTGCGGTTCAGCGAAAGCAGGAGACTCAGGTACTCTTTCTTTCTTTATTTATTTCTTTACTTTATTAT